GTTAGATAATTTAGCATGATATATAGATAAGAAGTTAGATAATTTAGCATGATATATATATATGGGAAGTTATATAGATAATTTAGCATGATATATAGATAAGAAGTTAGATAGATAATTTAGCATGGTATATATGGGAAGTTATATAGATAATTTAGCATGATATATAGATAAGAAGTTATATAGATAATTTAGCATGATATATAGATAAGAAGTTATATAGATAATTTAGCATGATATATAGATAAGAAGTTAGATAATTTAGCATGATATATAGATGAGAAGTTAGATAATTTAGCATGATATATAGATAAGAAGTTAGATAGATAATTTAGCATGATATATAGATGGAAAGTTAGATAATTAAGCATGATATATAGATAAGAAGTTAGATAATTTAGCATGATATATAGATAAGAAGTTATATAGATAATTTAGCATGATATATAGATAAGAAGTTAGATAGATAATTTAGCATGATATATAGATGGAAAGTTAGATAATTAAGCATGATATATAGATAAGAAGTTAGATAGATAATTAAGCATGATATATAGATAAGAAGTTAGATAGATAATTTAGCATGATATATAGATAAGATGTTATATAGATAATTTAGCATGATATTTAGATAAGATGTTATATAGATAATTTAGCATAATATATAGATAAGAAGTTAGATAGATAATTTAGCATGATATATAGATGGAAAGTTAGATAATTTAGCATGATATATAGATAAGATGTTATATAGATAATTTAGCATGATATATAGATGAGAAGTTAGATAGATAATTTAGCATGATATATAGATAAGATGTTATATAGATAATTTAGCATGATATATAGATAAGATGTTATATAGATAATTTAGCATGATATATAGATAAGAATTTAGATAGATAATTTAGCATGATATATAGATGGAAAGTTAGATAATTTAGCATGATATATAGATAAGATGTTATATAGATAATTTAGCATGATATATAGATAAGAAGTTAGATAGATAATTTAGCATGATATATAGATGAGAAGTTAGATAGATAATTTAGCATGATATATAGATAAGGTGTTATATAGATAATTTAGCATGATATATAGATAAGAAGTTATATAGATAATTTAGCATGATATATAGATAAGGTGTTATATAGATAATTTAGCATGATATATAGATAAGAAGTTAGATAGATAATTTAGCATGATATATATATATGGGAAGTTATATAGATAATTTAGCATGATATATAGATAAGATGTTATATAGATAATTTAGCATCTTATATAGATAAGATGTTATATAGATAATTTAGCATGATATATAGATAAGAAATTAGATAATTTAGCATGATATATATATGGGAAGTTATATAGATAATTTAGCATGATATATAGATAAGATGTTATATAGATAATTTAGCATGATATATAGATAAGATGTTATATAGATAATTTAGCATGATATATAGATAAGATGTTATATAGATAATTTAGCATGATATATAGATAAGATGTTATATAGATAATTTAGCATGATATATAGATAAGATGTTATATAGATAATTTAGCATGATATATAGATAAGAAGTTAGATAATTTAGCATGATATATATATGGGAAGTTATATAGATAATTTAGCATGATATATAGATAAGATGTTATATAGATAATTTAGCATGATATATAGATAAGATGCTATATAGATAATTTAGCATGATATATAGATAAGAAGTTAGATAGATAATTTAGCATGATATATAGATGAGAAGTTAGATAATTTAGCATGATATATAGATAAGAAGTTATATAGATAATTTAGCATGATATATAGATAAGAAGTTAGATAGATAATTTAGCATGATATATAGATGGAAAGTTAGATAATTTAGCATGATATATAGATAAGAAGTTATATAGTTTAGCATGATATATAGATAAGAAGTTAGATAGATAATTTAGCATGATATATAGATGAGAAGTTAGATAGATAATTTAGCATGATATATAGATAAGGTGTTATATAGATAATTTAGCATGATATATAGATAAGAAGTTAGATAATTTAGCATGATATATATATGGGAAGTTATATAGATAATTTAGCATGATATATAGATAAGATGTTATATAGATAATTTAGCATGCTATATAGATAAGATGTTATATAGATAATTTAGCATGATATATAGATAAGAAGTTAGATAGATAATTTAGCATGATATCTAGATAAGAATATGTAGATAAAATGTGTAACGCATTTAGAGTGTAGTATATTAATCAATGTAAGGTAAACAGAATTTGTGTATCAATTCTTCGTGATTTTATGTTTTTGAAGAGTGGGTAATCTATCACAAAATCGCAGATTGTGATAATGTGGAGAATTGACTTATTTTGGTCTCATGGATGGCTCATTGCTTTTCGGAAACGCATACTTTTTTGTGATTCATAACACATGTTGAAGTAATCTCCATTGGTTTGTCAGCAGTTTGAAAGGGAAACAAATCATTTCGCTGGGTTTAACTTTTGTTCACACTCAACATTTTTTTACAAAAAATAAATGTATGATTCTGGATGGTAACAGCTCGATCTTTATTCAGCTAATTAAAATGACGAATTGTGTAGTAGCTCACCAGGACGACGAGGTTAAGTATCTGTTAATCTACACTGAACATATGGCGGGGTCCAGCAACTCCTTCATCAAATATCTACACGAAGGTCGGCCTCGACGTCTGACAACTCTCGTCTGCGGTTTGTATACATATCACGACTGCAGGGTATCGTGTACTGGTTTTAAAGGAGCGCTTTAGAATTATTCAAATGTCCGTTATGTAATGACACAATACCTTCGTCAATGATTAACTCTGAACTTTCAGATTGGAAACATGGTTAGTGAACATGCCTGGCAGACATATTATAAAGCATGTCTACATGAATCTCAGTGATGTATTGTACCACTTACTGTGAAGACTATTTTTTCTGGTTTAGAGTTAATGGGGTATGAGTAGGGTAGTAAATTATATCATTGGGATTGTCAGCTTTTACTTCTGTTTTTCATGGGACCATTTCATCTTTGTTATCTCCTTTAGAGTTCCACCGTTTCATGTTTATATATATGTTTTCGATTTTATCAGTAGTCTATTTATTCTTATCCTGCTCTTGTATATCACTTCTTACTGTTGTTTCCTGTTGTCCTGCTGTTGTAATTTTCATTGAACTGTTGTTTCCTGTTGTCCTGCTGTTGTAATTTTCATTGAACTGTTGTTTCCTGTTTCCCGCTGTTGTAATTTTCATTGAACTGTTGTTTCCTGTTGTCATGCTGTTGTAGTGTTTTTTGAACTGTTGATTCCAGTTGTCCTGCTGTTGTAGTGTTTTTTGAACTGTTGATTCCTGTTGTCATGTTGTTGTAGTGTTTTTTGAACTGTTGATTCCTGTTGTCATGCTGTTGTAGTGTTTTTTGAACTGTTGATTCCGGTTGTCATGCTGTTGTAGTGTTTTTTGAACTGTTGATTCCAGTTGTCCTGCTGTTGTAGTGTTTTTTAAACTGTTGATTCCAGTTGTCCTGCTGTTGTAGTGTTTTTTGAACTGTTGATTCCGGTTGTCATGCTGTTGTAGTGTTTTTTGAACTGTTGATTCCTGTTTTCATGCTGTTGTAGTGTTTTTTGAACTGTTGATTCCGGTTGTCATGCTGTTGTAGTGTTTTTTGAACTGTTGATTCCTGTTGTCATGCTGTTGTAGTGTTTTTTGAACTGTTGTTTCCTGTTGTCCTGATGTTGTTATTTACCTTGAACTGTTGTGTCCTATTGTCCTGATGTTGTTATTTACTTTGAACTGTTGTGTCCTGTTGTCCTGTTGTTGTTATTTACATTGAACTGTTGTTTCTTGTTGTCCTGATGTTGTTATTTACTTTGAAATGTTGTGTCCTGTTGTCCTGTTGTTGTTATTTACATTGAACTGTTGTTTCCATTGTCCTGTTGTGGTAATTTACCTTGAACAGTTGTTTCCCATTGTCCTGTTGTAGTAATTTACCTTGAACTGTTGTTTCCATTGTCCTGCTGTTGTGTCTTACTATTAAATGTTGTTTCCGCTTGTTCTATTGTATTTTTTAATATTGTTTCAATGGGCCCTCTGTTGCTTTCAACATGCATACTTTCGTGTTTCATTCTTTTTCTTTTAAATTCTTGATTCCTCAACTGGACATCGTATTTAGTTTTACATATTTGTGTAATACCCGGTTCTTTTCTCTTTTTCTTTAATTGTGGTTTTCTAAAGTTTTATTAATTGGAAACATTTTCCATTCTTCTGTTGTTCTGGTAACGTTTAGTAGTACTTTGTTCCCCGTGTCGTGTTTCCATGGAAACACTAGTTACTGTATAATATGGATTTTGCAGTGAAAACATTTTTAATGGCCGCCTTAAAAAATTGTAAGAAACCTATTGAAAACGGCCATTTTCAAAATGTACTTGGTTGTCGAAAAAGGGCGATTATCTTAGGTTAAATCCGGTCAATGACTTTGACACATTTTTTATCGCAAAGTTACTATTATATGCATAGGCTGTCCTGGCAGGTCCTTAAATTATCACGGAGTCTAGAGCAGACAACGGCGTGGTACTGCTCTCCAGGCCTTACGTTTGTTATATATAAATGTTGGGTAATTGTCTTGTGATCTTCATTAGGTCAAACGTGTGCACTTTGTTAGATAATGATGATAGTGATAGGTTTTTTGGAAACCATGTGATGTTAATTATAACATTCGTTGACTGGAGTTGCGTGCGTAAGGACCGGTACTAAATTTCCACGTATTTAAATGGTTTGCTATAATGCAAGTTTCCACAATTACACTGGGGCGACTAACAAGCTGATAAGGCCTACACAAGTGTTTGCACGCGAATTTAATCAGAAGCGGCCATTTCCATTGATCTTTATTGCTCTGTTGTGATGGACGCGCCGTGATACAGCGTCTTTACGAAACACTAATTCGAGAACGTGTCTATGTGGGAATCTTTATTTCAAATGCTCCATTTTCCGGAATTAAATGATGAAATTTAACTTGGGTACAAACATCCGTCTATATAATTTGCATGTAATAATTTTGCTCGTCTGTTTTCATTGTTAAGCGATATTGTGATATCTTATAAATTCTTTCTGTTTTTTTTAACACTGGCAATTAAACTTCTCTTGCGCCAATTAAGCGACGCTACATTTAGTTGATGTTACACGTGACCTGATTCTCTAGTGTTCTGACTAAAAAGACTTTTGTAGTAGCATTACAACAATATATCAAGATTTCTGAAATAAATGCTAAGGTGACTATGTTGATGTCAACTGATGATATTGAAACATACAGAATGAAGCGACTTGTTTTATTCTAATGTCATAAGCAGATGGTACGATATGCATAAAAAGTGACATTTATATAGAATTATGTACAGGAAGGTCAAGACTACATAGTAATTACACAAAAGTAATCATTATCAAAAATAGAATCTTAAGTTGGTGTTTAAAAGTTTGACGTCAATATATGGACACTTTCTTTGTCTAAAACGATCTCTTTCTTGTCATCACTAGGACATTTTCAATTCCACATGCGGTCACTTTTCTTATCTAACATGGTCACTATCCTTACATCACAAGGTCATGTTCCCTTCATTACGAGGTCACTTATACGATCACTTTCCTTGTCTAATACGGTCTCCACATCACCAGGCTATTTCACTGCCACATCACTTTCCTTGTCTAATACGGTCTCCACATCACCAGGTTATTTCACTGCCACATCACTTTCCTTGTCTAATACGGTCTCCACATCACCAGGTTATTTCACTGCCACATCACTTTCCTTGCATCACAAGGTTGTTTTCATATTTCACACTGTCACTACTCTTGATTCAAGATGTAAATTCCACTACCCACACTGTCACTTTCCAGAGTTCTAAATGTCACTAACAATGGCTATCACGGTCACTATCATTGACTGATAAGGTCACTATTCCAGTATCACACAGCCACTATCCCGGACTCAAACGGTCACTATCTATGTCTCGCACTGTCACTCTCACTGCCTCACACGGTCACTATCATTGTCTCGCACTGTCACTATCCCTGCCTAACACGGTCACTATCATTGTCTCGCACTGTCACTATCACTGCCTCACACGGTCACTATCATTGTCTCGCACTGTCACTATCCCTGCCTAACACGGTCACTATCATTGTCTCGCACTGTCACTATCACTGCCTCACACGGTCACTATCATTGTTGAGCACGGACAGTATCCCTGCCTCACACGGCCCTCTCCCTGTCTCGCACTGTTAATATCCCTGTCTCACACGGTCACTATCATTGTCTCGCACTGTCACTATCCCATACTCACACGGTCACTGTTGTTATCCCTCTCTCACACAGTCACTTTCATCATCTCGCACTGTAACTACCCCTGCTTCATTGTTTAGTACGGTCACTATCTCTGCCTTACAAGGTCAGTTTGATTAAGTTTCAAGGGCAACCTTAATAGTGTACTTTTCTTCCGTAAATATACAAAATAAATTGGACCTTGTATAGAGTATTGTAGCTACCATAAGATATTGAAACGCATATAATGGTAAAGAGATATCAAAGTTTAGTGAACATTCAGTTGAACATTTGTTTCCGATGGTTCAGCGGGAAAAAACAAATCACCGGAACTGAGCAACCAGCAATTATTGGCAACTAATGTTGCTCCAAGCCTGTTAATTTTAAATGTCGTCTTTATACTAGTAACGTTAGGGTGCTTTACAAAGGAAAGCAAAACACATTGTATTTCAATACACCGATAAACACACAGCAATGTAACAGTTATCATAGACAAACTAATGAGTCTTTTTACAGCAGAAAATCCGCTTGAAGAGAATGACACACTCCCTCCTGAAGATGTCGTTACAGAATGAATATATGACGGGGTTAATGGCACAGTTGAGGAGATATGACCTCAGAAACACATGGTACACCATCTCATTCGCCTTCTGTTGTACCTTCCAAGCCGCAGGGTTGATAGAACGGTGTATTGCGATGCCAAGAAACGGTAAAAAACTGATGATATACGCCAACGTCACTAGGAATAACATCAGCGTGGTTTTACCAATACGTAACACTCTCTTGTCCGATACAGTGCTCTTCGTACGTTTGAAAGTAGATTTAAGATCCAAGAACGCCATCTTGATGGCCGCACGCGGGCTTGGAGGCGGTTCGTTGCTCGCACTGCGCTTGCTTTGTTTCCTCAACGAATGTCTTTCTGTTGGGTAGTCTTCGTCATCTTCCATGGATACAGAGGAAAATGAGCGGACAGAAGTCGATCTGAACTTCCAGCGCTGACACACGCGCACACCGACGAATATGTAGAGAACAGTGAGGGTGAGGAAGTTAATGAGTGTGCAGATACAGTTAAAGGTGAAGTAAGCCAGGGGATATGGTGTGGACACATATGCGTTCTCGATCAGACACACCTTTAACACTACGCCGAGCACTGGGTAATCCTGCGTGCCGTAGATCACCAGGGATGGCCACGTCGTCAACAGAGACAGAGTCACAGAAAGCCAGCATATGAGTTTAGAAGTTCGGGTGGATATGGCGTTTTCGTGCGGTCTACATATCCGCTGATATCGATCTACAGCTATCGCTATAAGAATAAGAGCTGCCGCACAATTACACGTGTATGTAGTAAAACGTGATAACTTACAAATGAAGCTATGATCAAACACGATGTAGTTAAATAACATGAAGATTTCAACCGGAAGTGTTAAAGTGCAATTTATAAGATCTAATGTGGCCAATGCTAAGATAAAAATTCTAGTAGAGCTTCGTCGCCATCTTGAATAATATATAAACCACACGATGGCGTTACCCGGCGTGCCTATTGCCATCAGAATGGCAGTGTAGACGATGGCGGGAACAAGGCGCTCGAACTTGTTTATGCTAAGCATGCGTATCATAACTTCCGCTGAAATGGCCTGACCTGAATTGTTCGAAATATTCAAATTTGTTGTTGAAGAAGCGAGAACCATCATCTGTGTTGTCAATAGTGTATTGGTATCAACACTGGCCTGTCCTGGGCGTTCCGATGTAAAGTCGTCCGCCATGTTAGATGTAGGCTGTTTATTGATGTCTTTTAGGATCTCAGCATGCGAAGTCTCTGGTTATTTAGCGACGCTGACCGAAGCAAACTCAAGAAATGTCAATGAAGGCCATCTGAAAACAATAAACAAAGTGCTCAGATTATTCATGATCTTTGACTATAAACAAAATCATAGTATTCTCCATGGAACGTACGATGAAACGACGACACAATTATGAGGAATAATTATTGCCCCATTACTTATTTATGTCCAGTCCCCAGAAATTCATTAAATGCTTGGATTGTTTTGCTACAGTAATTTAAAATAGGGAAGAACTAAACATACGTACATGTCTGGCATACATCCTTTCCTGGATTATGTTGAGATATATGAAACTTCTGTATAGAACACGCGGATAGGGCGGATATAAAGATTTAACTGCTATGAGTATATATGATACAGCACTCTGTATGTATGAGAGAGATAACGATGACACAATGATATATAAGCGCATTAAGTATGCGCAACTTGTAACTATTGAGCAATACTAAAGAGTCTGCACCATTCACGGATATAAGTAGAAGAACACGTACAAGCACCGCCACTGCATACAAGCATTGGTTCTTGACACGTGAACAACTCAACAGGTTCGAACCCTGTAACCCGCTATGTGCGGGACTATTTCGCAACAGTAAAAGATACACTGCCAACTCTTAGTCACTAGGTGGATGATGCCAGTTTTACTATACACTAATTGTAGATAATGATACTACTTAATACAAAGGATAATTAACTCTCGGTAAGACAATACACGTGACTGGGAAGGGGTTTACACACCCAACCTGATTATCAACCAGGCTAACATCACAATTACTGACAACACCCCTTTCACAGCATTCGTTTTCATATTCTTACGATAACACCAAGATAAACTAAACAGACCACAAACGATTAGCCATAGTTCTGGTGTAATTCTGGTCTTCAACATGACGGAAATACGGTAAGAATCTGGGCTGTTTGTGTGTTTTATACATGCTGTAACCGTTTAGTTTTATGACTGAAACAAACACCAGTAGTGTCACATATAATAAAAACACAAGTCATATAATGCAATATTGTCCAACTACATGTAGTTCACAACTGAGAGAACTTTGACCTCGAGATCGCCGAGTTGGTACCAGCAGAGCGCAATGTCTCCAAGTAATCAATCAACTTATATTCAATATATATAACATAAATATATGGTAGTATCTTGTTATTTTGAGTTGACGATATATTGACAATCCTATAAAAACATCCAGCTTACCCGTCTGCCAGGTGTGCACTCATTCCATCTGACTTAAAATACACAATCACAAACTGCGTTGATCGTTTTAAAGAAACAAGGGTGTTTCTCTGCTTTGCGATGGAAAGGATTGTGTCACGTTTTACAATCAGATAGACGATTAAAGTAAATGATATATGAATCCTTAAACAACTACTTCGCCGAGGCGTCCAGATATTGTTTGTCCGAAATACAACTAGTCGGGCTGTACTATCAGGCAGACAACTTCCGGCGTAGCGACGGACATCCTACCACAACTATATACAGGCATTGTGTTCCGCTTGTCACGTGATAGCCTTGACGTGACAGCAATATCCGAGGTAATCCTGCTATTGCTGTCTGACGAATGCCTCAGATTGTTACATGCTTATATCCTTATGCAGACTAGTATCAATTTTGACCTAATTAAGCGATAACCTTATGGGTATTACACGGAGTAGACAAACAACCCCAACCCGTCCCAGTGATAACCTGGTGGGTAATACTCGGAGTAGACAAACAACCGCAACCCGCCTCAGTGATAACCTGGTGGGTATTACTCGGGGTAGACAAACAACCCCAACCCGCCTCAGTGATAACCTTATGGGTATTACACGAAGTAGACAAACAACCGCAACCCGCCTCAGTGATAACCTGGTGGGTATTACTCGGGGTAGACAAACAACCCCAACCCGCCTCAGTGATAACCTTATGGGTATTACACGAAGTAGACAAACAACCTCAACCCGCCCCAGTGATAACCTGGTGGGTATATAAAAATGGTCAAAATATCTTGCAACAGTAGTGAGGTTTATTTTTTTTTTTTAATTTTGCGTATATCTGCCATGAATGTTTCAAGCCGCATTGGTCAACCTTCATTCCATCAGCATAAAGGGAATTAGGCTATTCCTTAATTTCATGTACGGGACCCCGCCCCTCTGTCCTGAAGGGGTTAGACTTTATACAAAATTTCCCTTAACACCAGGATGCTTCAGACTAAATTCGAATAAAATGCTGTCATTCCTTCAAAAGTTTCTCTTTCGTGGGCTCGTCTTATCAACCGGATGCTGGTACCCATCATTTATACATACAAATGTAATTGGTTCTCTTCCTCCAAAGAGAATAATAATGTATCTCTTTTTTTTTGGACTCCGACCCTCAGGTCTTGGAGGGCCGACACCCATCATTCATACAAAATTATTTCCTTCTCCCTTAAGGATGCTTCTTTTTCAAGCTGTGTAATCTATGGGCAGCTGTTGTTTAAATCTGTGATATATCAGTATAAATAAGCAATCATTAACGGGACAACCTCTCATGATAAGGCGACTCGGTCAAACAATGCCGACATTATTATTTATTGATTTCCGATGCTGTCGAGATTCCGAAACAGGCGACAGTCTTCCTATTAGAGCTGCCGAGAAAAAAACCTACAACCAATATTCTAAAACACGGCAACGGCCACCACCTGTTTTTGATAGGACAACCAATTTAACAAAACATATATTGTATTGAGAATAGGAAATTCCGAGTCGTAAAGCAATCTGACTGGTAAACCAGTGTCGGCTTACATTCATCCCTACGACTTTTCTTCCGGACAGTGTGGTCTACGTATATCTGCGGTATATAGAGACTCATTCCTCCCGACGACAATTTTCCTTCCGGGCTGAGAAGTCACGTGACTGGTAAAATAGTACCAGTCTCACTGGGTCTGTGGTAAATCACAGAAACACAGACTAATTCCGATGACTTTCCTTCCGCGCAGTGTTCAGTCGTCAGTACAAGTCTCCATAGTTAAATGTAAATTACGGAGATGCTTATTTGGAGGACCACGTCTCCATATTGTGCTCTGTGTGACGTCATATTTCTCACACTGCTGTACCCACACTGACGTACGAGAACTCAGCTGTACCACTCTGATTCAAAAGAACATAATCAACCCTTCCCTCGTCCTCTTTGATAAGCAAACAGGAAGGAAAAACCAAACATATCTTAAAGACATGAAAAACAACATATTAATTAGACATCAAAGCTACTAATGATCTAATGGTTTATCAATTAGTGATAAGCACCGTCGCCGATTCAGACCGCCTTATTCATAATGTTGATAAACAAAGTCAAAGTAGTGTACGTGGTATAGAACGTCTACACAGCAGGGTGATTCTGTCCGAATTTTCCTCGTTAAACTGACTATCAAAACATCTTATCGTATGTTTTATGACAGGTGTTGGTACTCTGTGGATTATGTCAAAATTTGCACCTCTCTGCATGTAAGACACACGTTCCCCCTATGCATCACACGTGCAGAGTACGCCTGTCTACATGATTCTACTCATTTACCTTGATTCGGTATCAAAACAAACTGCTGGAGATGGATATATAAAGTACATAGTATACCAGCTTAGCTGACGATGTTACGTGACCTCATCATCTCATTGTGATTTATGACGTTATTGAACTCTTAATTCCACCCTTCGAGTAGTCGGTAATGTGCAACCACTTAGAAACCTATAAAAATAAGAATACTGTGCAATCACTTTGTGTTGGTTAGTGGACGGCATGTTGCCCTTGTGTATGGATATCTGATACTTGTGCATTTTACATATTAGCTGTGGTTTATGATATTAATATGCACTTGGATCGAAAGATCAGGAAGCACAATGTTTTTGTGCTGTCTGTTAACATTAACCTTGCCCATAACTACTGCATCGTAAGAGCTAGGGCTTTCAATATTTGGCATGCCTGTTCCTTGTGACAAGACCTTTTCTGGTGGTACCAAAATATTTGACAAAGTTACATTGACCGTGAACTTTGACCTTCATTTTAAAGGAAAAAAAATACCCTAATGAAGACATAAGTGTTTCACAAAGTGTGCATGTAGTTAGCGCTTGACTTGTACAGTATAATGTCCCACTTCAGAATTTTGATGCAACTGAGGGCATAGAGTGTCATAAACACGTCTAGTTTTTATCATATAACGCCGGTTTAAAATTTTAAAAAATCCTTTCCAAAAAACTGTTGAACACTTTCACTTCGATTTCGTCGTTTTAATACGTTCGTGACGTGTCGGACAAACAACAATGAATTATATTCCAACCACATCAAATACACATTATACACTATAGCCCATCTTCAACGGAAGTTTAGGGCAGCAGTTAATCAACCCAAGTTCTCCGACAAAACCTTTATCAGGTAGCTAACTCGACAGATGTGTGGGATTGTTTAACATCGTATCAGAGACAACATTTAAAACGGCTGAGGTTAAACTACACGCGAAAGTCATGTCTCGCATATCTTTTCCCTTCGTTTTACGAATTCTCTTCCAAAGTCGTATCTATAATGAGTAAAACAGACCAAGGTATCTGCAAAAATGAATTTGTTTTTTACATACGGATGTGTCGTATCAAATATATATATTTCTGAGATATTGGGGGAACACTATTGGATTCATTTAACTTCAATTTGTTCATGAGAATTACTTAAGTAACAACAACCTGTAGGATTATTACTAAAACCCACGACAAGACTGGAAATTCAGTAGTTAAGTTGGTATATCCTGCAAAGCTGAGATTGAAACTGTTTGGAAGGAACCAAGACAACTACTAGAGTACAGATTTCCTTCACGTCTGTTCCATAATTGATCGCAGAACTACCCTGTTATCGTGTACAAACAAGAATTACATCAATAAGGTTTCGACCCTACGTGTAATAACTGTGATTGGTTGAATATTCCGATTGTTTCGATCGTGACACAATACTTCTTGACGTCACCGGTGGAGTGGCATCGCCGAAGATGTGAAGTGAGAATGTATTGGGAATAAATGGCCATTGTC